CTGAGGACCAGAAGAGTAAAAATACATATGCCATCTCCTCCTCTTCCTTTCCCCCATATCAGCTACGTTTTGTCTTTGTGAATGCATTGTTCAATTCCTGACTTTTTTCCCCTCAGCAATGCATTCTGTGTGTACAAGCTGTCGAAATTCATTGGGTGTACTCTGTAGTTTTTGTCATTTTTCTATAGTGTTAAACAATTGTGAGTAGATTATAAAAACGCTTATCTAACTTGGGCAGATTCACACTCAAGTATTTGGTATTTTACTGTTCTACTGTATCTTTTATGTTCTTAGTCTTTTTCTTTCATAGTTTCTTAGTTTTACCTTCAGAATTTAGCAGTTTAAGGATATAAAAAGCACAGTTATAGAAATATAGCTAATTATCCATTATACAGGCATGGACCTGAGTTGCTTTCAGCTGTACTTACATAGCAAATTTTGGTTTTTAATTTTTTGCAAGATGCATTCTTCTGTGAGTTTGTAGCTATCTTGTGAGGTCAGGTGGAATTTTTTTGTCTTCCCCCAGTTACAAATGTGAACAGTCATCCATGTGTCCTGATGTAGGCCAGTGCAATGTAAAGTTTGCATTTAAAAGTAAAAAATTCTGAAGACACTTTTTTTTAACTAGTATGTTTTTCAGAACGTATGTCAGATACCTGTTTTATGAAGTGTGTAGCTGACATTCAAAAACGTCTTCCTCAAAAATGTTTTGTTTTCGCCCAGGGGTATCAAGCACAGGCCTCGTCAAAGGTCAGAAAATATTCTCAAAACAGTGTAGCTTCTTAGCAATTTAAATAAGAATTTGTATTACTTCATGCTAAATATTAATACTAGTAATATCATAAACCCCCTTGCATCTCATGGGACAGCAAGATTACTGGGTCAAAAGGATGTGTTTTCTTCCTTGCAGGCATTCTACCTTTATGAAAGCTTCAGCTGAAGTGAGTCTTGCATATTTATTGACATTTCTTCAAGGAGTGCTTTTTTTTTTTTTTTTTCCCCCTGAGTCTATCTACTCCCTATGAAGGTTTTGGCACCCAGAATTTAGTCAGTACAAAAAGTGTGTAAGAACGTGATTATGAATATACTGACAAAATAAAAATGTTCATATTTCTAGTGGAAAAAGTATTTGATTATCTTGGGTTTTGTGCAACTTCTGGGGAAAGATGTTCTTAGACTCAGTATTTTTCCACTGCTGCTTACCCTAAAGGGACAATGGGATATCCAGCTTAATTTCATTTTCACCTTCAATATATGAAGATGTTTGGGGTCTTCGTTTCAGTATGTGCAGCTTGCATCACACTTCTCCATAGGAGAAGTTAAGAAAGCAATCAAAAATTTTATTCGTGCTATAAAGAAGTATTACTTTTAATTTGTCTTTTCTGCACATAGCCTGGCCTACTAGAGGATTTTATTGGTTAGTAAGCCCCGTGCTTTGATTTTGCAGTTAAATATTTGCATTGCAAGTTAAGGTGTATTGTAGCAATCTACAAATGCAACTACAGTTCCTGATCTTTTTTAAATATATCTGCTGAGTAACATAGCTTATTTCCTTATTGCAAATAATATGCTTATCTGTGTTATGTTTAATTTACTCGTAATTTATCCTGTTAGATAAGGTTTGTGTTGCTGCTGTAAAATTATATTAGGAAAAGCCATGTGGGTTTAAGAAATTGATATCTTACTCATTTGGTATGTTTAGACAATGCAAGCTGCTGTACGCCTGTGAAAACAGTTTCACCAAGACCTGCTGCGGAAATTCTTTCCGAATATGAAAGCTGCTGCAGAGCTGTGTGCAGCAGCTAACAGGTTCCTGCTTTCTAGAGGCCTGTGTGGTTTGTCTGTGTACAGAAGAATTGTCCAAGATTACCAGCACAATAAGTAACTGTGTTCTTCAAGGGTATGATCAGAGATTCTTGAGAACTTGCAGGGCAGGTGAAGCCTTGGAACCTAGGTGAGTTTGCAAAGTCGCCTGTGGTAGGATTGGATGATGGACAACCTAAATGAATGTTGTTTTACTGTCCTTTATTGCCTAGAGCAATATTCCAGCTGTTATTGTTAATCATAGCTACTTCTTCAATTGTACACAAGTTACATCTAACCTAAGTGTCACAACAAAACAATATATGTGTACAAACTATGCCGGCTCATTCACTCGCTCAACTGACCCGTTACTACAGATGTAACTACTACTACCAGCACCTCCCCATAGCAGCACCATGAAGGCTGTCATCCCATGCACCACACAAGGGGTGATGGGGAGGCATCTACACTGATGGTTGCCATCAGCTGTCACTCATCTGGGGGTCATCTGACCAATGTGGACCAGGGTCCATATATGTAATGTCCCTCTGCAAAGAGTTGGTGGGGATAGAATTAATTTTCCTCATGGTAGCTAGCATGAAGCTGTGTTTTGGATTTGTACTGAGAAGAATATTGACAACATACTGATGTTTTTAGTTGTTGCCAAGCAATGTTTATATCAAGTCAAGGACTTTCTCAGTTTCTCATTCTTTACAAGCAGCTGGGAGGGGACACAGCCAACACAGCTGACCCAAACTGACCAACAGGATATTTCATGACATCAAACATCATGCTCGGTATATAAACTGGGGGGAATGGGCCGTGACTGTCGGGTTCTTGGGTCTCTCAGGTTCTGGCTCACTCTTGCTGCTTGGGGACTGACTGGGCATCAACCAGCAGGTGGTAAGCAGTTGTATCATTTGGGTTTTTTCCCCACTGTTTTTATTAGGTGTTATTATTAGTAGCACTGTGTTCATTACATATTATTAGTAATATTGTTAGCATTATTAGTATTGTTAACATTGTTAGCATCATCATTATTTTATTTCATTTATTTTCAATTATTAAACTGTTTTTATCTCAGCCCGCAAGTATTCTTACCTTTCTCTCTGATCCTCTTCCCCATCCCACTGGGAGAGGAGGGAGGTAAAGGAGTGGCTGTGTGGTGCTTAGCTGCTGGTTGGGGTTAAACCAGGACAGACTGAAGGCAGAGTCCTCCCTTCTTGCTGCTCAGCAGTCAGCAACACCAGCATCTTCAAAGGAACTTCCCCAGTACCGGCCTGCTACAACTTGTGTGTTGCATAGCTGGCTTAATCAGGTAGTTTTTGGCAGATCATGTTGTTACGCTGTTAGTTTCGACTATGGACCTTACAGCTCAGCTGGTTAATTTTGGTTCTCCACAGTCATCTTAAAGCCCCAGGTCAGACATTGGTTGGTTAAGTGCCACGGGAAGGTTGTGCCATGGCTCTTAGACCTGCATGTAAGATTAGTTTCTTCTCTACTTGGCAGGCGTGAAGCACGGGTACGTATCTTGTATTCCAGCAGCTGGTATGTTTTCAGCCTGTACCCAGCAGCCTCTATATGGAAAATACGAACGGGTTAGTATCTTCTTGGAAAAGTGGTTAGTGATCCATAAATCATATGGAATTGAAAAGGATTGCCGCAAATCTCACCTGTGTGCCGTTTTCAGTCATAGTTGGAGAGCTATTGACAGTGTCTCGCTGTGGAAGTCTTCCACAATTTTCAGAGCTGACCTTAATGAAAGCAGGCATCCAGCTTGTCCTTTTTTTTGAGGCTGATATTTGTTACATACTTGCAGCAAATTTGATAAATTGTAAACAGTGTCAAAGGTGGGTGTGCCCTGGGGGCTTGCTGCTTGTACTCATGGTTCTAGTATAGTTCCAGGGTAGGTCTCGGGCTCTTCCCTAAATACTGAGATCCTTATACTGCTGAATCCTTGTATCCAGCTGCTCTGTGTGGCATTATTTGGATGCTCTCTATGCTTCCAGCTAAGTTCTTCCTCAGTGTTTTCTGTCAGCTGTGCCTCTAGCCATAAGCAGATTTTCTTTGCAGCTGCAAGGAGTAAACTAAGTCTGCAGGAACATCGATTGTTGCGTGCCACCCAGTGTCAGCACGAGGCCTAATTCTTCAGGTATCGTTGTCAGTCTCAAGGCTCCCTGCCTGGCTCCTTGACCTGTGTGTTCCTGTTACTTCTCTGCTGAAAACTTTCCTCTTCCTTTCCTGCCATCTCTATCAGCTGAGGAGCCATAGATTCATTGAAGACGTGAGGCTGGAAGGCATCTCAGTAGAGGGTCTGGTCCAAGCCCTTGTCCAGCGTAGAGAAGTGCTGACTTTCTAACCAGGTTGCTCAGGATGGAAACATCAATGTTCTAGACCAGAATCTGCATTGCCCCGCTCAAAAACTTGTGCGCTTACATCTCAAAGCAAAAATAAGTTGTGACTCACTGATCTCTCTCACACCTGGGGTAGAGCAGTAACTCTATCCCCATTTTCCCCGGTGCGTTTTGAGATAGAACTAGACATGTTGCAGTGAATATGAGAGCGCTCTCTGTAAAACTGTGTGTTGCCACTGGGACTGAAGCAGTGTCAAGAAAAAAATCCAGGAGGGGATAAGACTGTAGCTAGTTGAGTTAGGTATACTGAAACTGTTCTCTAAAACGGCAATAAAAATGGGAAGCAATTGCAAGCTTTACCTAATGAGAAACTTTTTAGCCAGACAAGCCCCCTGTGAGTGACAGAAGGAATTACGTGTCTCTGGGTGAAACCATTGCACGTACACGCTTCTGGGCTCTGCGATATTGTTAGGTGGCTAAAATGGGGGTTTCGTTTCTTTGGAGCGAATTTATGAATAAAAGTTATTCTTCAAGGGAACAAATCTACCTGTAATATTTCTGCCAGCATAATAGAGAATCATGTGAGGAGATAGCCAATTTTGGTTAACTGTGAGAGATGTTGTATCTGTCAGTGGTGTTTGTTTGTATATTTGTAGTGCTGCTGTGATCTCAAATGTGTCGACTGAATTACAATTATTTTACTTTTCTCCAGCTTCTGAACTGCAACGTTTACAGTCATAGATATGTTTCTACTTGATTGCTGAAACTTTACATACCTTACTGGTTTACTTTCTCTTTTTAGGTGTCCTGGCTTTTTAGTCCCACAAGAAGTGAAATAACAAGTCTAGATAGTGGAAATATAGATGACATTTTAAGTGAGTACTTTGAAATTTTTTTTCTTTGCATGCCTGCAGTCCCTCGTCTGTGTGATTCTTGCGGTGTTATTAAACAAATATGTGTACCTTAGCTTTGAAAATATCAGTTGCAGTCGGCATAGAAGCATTAAATGCCTGTGATCAAAATTAGCTGTCTGAACTAATGTATTGTTTAATAAATCACTTCGTTGTAATCTCAGTGAGGATTTGAAGTGTCTAAGAAAATTACTTGGTATCTTCTTTGCAGATGGAAATGCCTGATTACATACCCAAAACCTGTCAAAAGAGCATTTTAAAATAAGTTCCCCCAAAAATAGCAGCAACTGAAGCCCATGGTGATGGGCCTTAAGCATCTTGCTTGTTCAGCTATGTTTTTCCTCAGGTTGGGCATTGTCCTGATTATGGTGGCTCATTGAAAAGAGACTCATAAATTTAACAGATGTGTATTCCTTGTTTGAAAAGTATGGAATCTGCCTGTATCTGGTTGTCTTCACAGGAAACAAAGCTATTACGTTGATTCAAGTATACTCAGGAAACATCTTCATAATCTTCTATGTGGGTCTGTACTAGAATCTGCCTACTATTGAAGGATTGCTTTGTGTAGTAAATGTATGGTTAGGTGATACCTGTTGGTAAATACCTTTCATACAGTGAAAATATAGAATCCTTTTGTAAAATGTGATTCATAAAAGGGAATGTATGCCAAGTGTTAAGTGTTTTTAAAATTTATCCTATTACTTTCAATAAATACTTTATGCCTCGGAGGTAATCCTGACTTTCTCTGCACTTGTTCATTTCCTGTTCACCACTTGTATGCCTTGCTGATAATGACTAAAGTTATGGTGTTAAGATTTTCAAAACTGTAGCTTTCCCCAGCCTTCTTAAGAGTCGTCTTTTCCAGTATGTTGTCATTTTAATCTTTGCTTGTAACTGCTTTGTAACTTTGTCAACAGTGCAAATTCACCTAACAACATTACTGCTTTATGAAGCTATGGCTAATACTCTCTATTTCCAGGATTTATTTCAAGGGTTTAGGGTTTATTTAATGTCTAGGCCACTACTACTAATAAAAATTAATTTACAGCATGGTTGTTACTTTGTGTAAAGATTACAGGGTTTTTGGGGCAGGAGACTTGCTCTTCTGGTTTTGGTATATTTTCCTTTCTTTTTGGTATGTAAAAAAATATAGGAGCATTATTTCATTACCTCATCATATACATCCCTATAGTACTGCAATTTTTTTCAGTGTCCCTTAGCATGTTTCTTTTCTTGGGAGTGAAGGTTTCTCTGCTGCCTTTTGCTTTAGTATCTGGTTAACAAATAAGGCAGGTAAGAACTGACCAGAGCAAGTTGCACAGGCAAGCTGCATGTTGTTCATTCTTCTAACCCAAATAGTTGACATTTCAGATTATAACTGGTTTTTAAACCTTATGAATAATCTATATAATGCTTAAAAGATACACTAGGGTACAATTTCTGGCTTTGAGTGCCTTTATTTTAAATCCAGAATTACTTTTTGTCTCCTGTTTCACTTATTTACGTCTTTTGTGTCTTATACATTAGACTTTATAAATGTCAATGTTTAATGTATTAAAAAAGTCAATAAAATACTTGACTGAAGACCTCTCATCGCTTTCCCATTTGGTATAGATCATATTTCAGATTACGCTAGCAGTTTTCTAGCAGTCAGACTAAGCTGTATGCTGAATAAACTAGATATACTTGCTTTTGTAGTTTTTGTGCATATTTTTATAATCTCAGATAAAAACACGAAGAAGTTTGCCTCACAATGTGACATTGGGTTTTTTCTTTTTCTTTCCCCTCAGACAATGCAGATGTTGCTTTAGTTAATTTTTATGCTGATTGGTAAGTTACGCGTTTCTTTTTCTGTGTTTAAACTTCTGTCTTTAGAAAAACTGTCATGTTTGGATATAGTTTTCTAATTGCAAATGGAGTGATGTGTTGCTTTCAAACGAGTTCCTGCCTGGGTTTTTCAGTCTTGAGTACTTCCCCGTTTGCTCTTCTGCCATCCTTTGTTTCATTTGGGGCTCCTATCAGAGGAAAAAGGCTTCTTACAGTAGTATGGAATAACATTCTACGTAATACATTTTTTCCTTTTTCCCTCTTATAAAGTCAGATTTTATTAACTTTTTTGCTCCTTAACATAGGATAGTTCAAAATGTTCCGTTTTTCCCTCGTCTTCTGTGTTGGTCCCATGTGTGTGTGCTAGAAAGAAAGGCTTGAAGTTACCCCAAAATCAAATACTTCTCTAATCTGGAAGACCTTCCAAGTAAGGAGCTAGAGAAGTTATTATTGAGGGATGAAATCTGAGCAGCTGCAGAAGGAAAGAATTTGGGGCCAAATCAGTTAGACATTGTGAAAGACATACTTGGAGGGAATGGTTTACTTGAAATTATGTATTAAAAGCATATGAAATTAAAATAAAATACATAAGGACTGTACCCATTTTTTGGTTTTGAATGTGTAAGAAGGAATTTTAAATGTTCTTTTCTGCTCCACCATTAGTATTTTCAAGAGAATTTTCAGCTAGGAATAAAACGGAAAAATATTTGGGGAAAATAAAAATTAATATGCAAATAATATAGAAAATGAAATTAGAAAAAGAAATAATTTTCTGCCTTCCTTGATTAAAGTGTTCTTGGATGTAAATATCTTTTATACAGAAAACAAAGTACACACTTCAAATATTTCTCACCTTGATGTTATGCTTTGCGAGCATAAAACATTGGCCTTCAGAATCAGAGATCATGTAGGTGATTAGACTTCTGATTCCTGTCACCTCTTTCACATCCCGTTACATGCCTAGGTCTGTGGGTCTCTGTGGCCTGGGAATAGCAAGCGCACAGAACCCTGCGTGAAGATTTTACGCTCTGCCTTTACTCATAACTCATTCTAGTAGCAGGCTAATTTTAATAGGGTTTTGTAAGCGATTTTGAAAAATTCATACCCAGTTTTTCATATAGAATGAAGTTTTTAATAAGGATGTCTTTAATGCCTTCATTGAAACTTTGCATAAAGGTAGGCATTGTACCAATCTAAATCGGCTTAATACCCGTTGTGTGTATCTCTGTCATTTGATAGGCAGTGTTTACATCCAGTTAGTTTGCATCTGTTCGTTTGTTACCGCAGGCTAAACTGATGCTAGGCACGTTCAAACCAATAGAATTTTTCTTTGGGGAGATTGCATTCTTTTACCCAACAAGCTATTTGTTTGAAATGTCTTTCTTTATAATGCTAGTACCACTAAGCAACTAGTTAAGTAAGCAACTAGGTCTGATCTTGTACCTGTTCTGTATAGAATTATGCTATAAAGGCCGCCTTTGAAAATAAGTAAGTAAATGAAACTTAAGATGGTTATTTTCAGTTTGGGATCTGCAGATAACCTGGTGGATCAAAGACTACTTCAAAAGGTTTTATTAAAGATAGCCAAGGAAAGCAAACCGGTAGAGAGTAAATCGATACACTGAAATCTGGGGTCTCTGTTGCCATTGAAAAATAATTTTTGGATTTTGCAAACAATGACCTGTAGGAGGCTAAAAATCCATGTTCTGATGCTTCTGTGATATAGGGAAGGTGCCCATATTTTAAAACTTGATATGGCAAGGTAACCAGTGTCCTGTTCAGGACCCTCTTAGCACAGCTCTTTCTGCAAATCCCCACTGTTACCCAATCCCCTCTAGAATAGGTTTGCTTTGAATTTAAAGGTTTGCGTACGCTTGCAAGCTGATTCACATTATACTAGGCCGTAATTTTAAACCATTACAGCCTTTATTATGATCATTGAGTGTAGGCATTCAGTAATAACTGCTCAGCATAGCATACTGCCAGCCTGTGATGTAATGTGACCTTTGAATGAGAACAGGTCAGTTTTGCTGCTGTAGATACTCTGCTGCAAGGGTGGAGGAGAGTGAGGGACAAGGAAGCCACATGTAACACATGCATGCTGCATAAATGTGTAGCATACAGTTGTGCTGCCAGACTCAGGTTTCTTTTCAGAAAATGGCCTTAAGCCTTAATTGCATTTGGGGGGCAAAACCTGTGTGTATTTGGGGGGCAAAACCTGCCTTTTCACTTGAATGTTTGCTGTTGTCATAACAGCATCCCCAGGCTAGCGCTGTTAGGTTTAAGCAGGGCTTCACTGCAGGCTGGTTTATTGCAAGACTGTTCCATGAGGCCTCATTCTGACAACTTCTACGGTGCTGTTATATGTCTTCAATTTAAAATTCTGCCATGTGTTTAGAAGAACGGAATATAAAACAATTTTATTGACACACTAGTAATGGGCTTGTGCACTAATGTTGACACATTAGTAATGGGCTTGTGCACTAATGTTACCTTAAACTCCCCAAAGCCACCAAAGTATCTTTACAATCCTACAGCCTTTTCCGTGGGCAGAAAAAGGATTTGTTTCAAAATCTGACATGACTGGAAGAAGGGACACATGGGATTCTATGTTCATAGTGCTGTAGAATCACACCGAATCACTAAGGTTGGAAAAGACCTGTAAGCTCATCCAGTCCCACCACCAACCCAACACTGCCAGACCCACTAGGCCGTGTCCTAGGCGCCAGGTCTACACGCTCCTTGAACACCCCCAGGGATGGTGACTCCAACACTCCCCTGGGCAGCCTGTAGTAGCAGTCTGTTCAAATTCTAACAAACTTGAGCAATAATATAATAAGCAATACTTAAAACTTCTATTGTTGACTCTAATGAAGTTGTGATATTTCTTGAAAGTGATTGATGGTGAATGTTTGAATCTCAGCAATCCAAGGAACTTGTTTTACTATGTTTTTAAAATTACTTCCCCAGGGATAATTTGGGTAGAAAAAAATGAAGCACAGATTATTAGAATGGAGTGTGTTTCCTAAAGGCTTATAATTGATCAATGGTGTTTCTTAAGCAGATAAAGCAAGGGGACACATCTTCAACTATGTTCTTCTAGAATCATCATTTCCCCTCCACCCCTGGAATTGTTCAAGTTACTTTTAAACCTATTTTTATCCAGTCAGTTACTGGGATATTTACAAGTAGATGTTTTTTTTCCAGTAGCTTTTTGGTTTTCCTTCAAAGATGGAAAAATTCCCTGAGTCATCAATCAAAATATTTCAAATTAATATTTTGAAGTTGTGATTTTGTGTTCTATCCGCAGGTGCCGCTTCAGCCAAATGCTGCATCCTATTTTTGAGGAAGCCTCTAATGTAATTAAAGAAGAATATCCAGATAAGAATCAAGTGGTGTTTGCTAGAGTAGACTGTGATCAGCATTGTAAGTAAATCCTGATTTAGGTTTTTCTGTGCTATCCTGCCATTAGGATACTCACTGTATTGAAGAATATACTAGTCAGCAGTCTGAAGTGTAAGTTGGACATGCCCCATCATTTAGCAGAGACAGGGTTGCTTGTATACATCAGTGAACCTGTTCTTCCAAATTTGTCAGGACGATCTCCAGTGTTGCGCTCTCATTGCATCCATAAACATGCATTTATATCTGTTCGTCCCATCTCATTTAACAGGGAAAAAAAGAGCTGAGGTTGTAAATTGAACTGGCTTGCTGAGGGGTCAGAGAAGCACTAGTGCTACAAATGGTGCAGGTCTTCACAGCCAAGAAGAGGGAGGGACAACCCTCTGTTATCAGCATCAAGGTGATGTTCTGCTCAGGTCTTCCCTCCAACTAGGAGTCATGGTGGGCTGTAAGCTGACTCTTGCACAACCAGGAGGGGATCAGAGCTTTTCTGCTTTTGCTCCTTGTACACATGCCAACATATGGTTGCTTGTTAGGGTTCTCGCCTCACTCAGCATTACATGAAAAACAGGCCAAAACTTACTCATTTTATGCTGGTATTAATTCCAAAAGTTGCTTTTTAATCCCATAATAAATAAAATGTGAGGAACATCTGCTACACATGGTGAGACAAATGGATAGTACTGACATTTTTATTATCGTGCTTCTTATGCTATAAAAATCAGCTTTTCTGTTTTATGCTTCTAGAAGAACAGCACTTGCAGACATCGTTTCTTTACAGTGGCTTCTGATTCCCGAAGAGTAGTTCCAGTTGCAAGTGGCTTCAAATCCCAGAAATTCACTTCTAACCAATACTGATTATAATATTTGGGCTTTACAAAAATGTTAATTCGTAAGAAGAATCACAGTTGGAAATGTGAGGAATCGCTGTACAGAGTTATGAGTTCATAACTGCAGCATATCCCTGGGACTTACTGTTGACCTAACAGTTTTGGTTTAGAGCTTCCTTACAAAAAACCTAAGGAGAGAACCTTATAGGACAGAAAAAAAATTGCACATCTGTGGAAAGTAACCGATTTCATTTATCTCTTTCCCATTTTGACAATTTAATTTTCTTGGTGTTAGAGAGGATTTTTCCCTATAGTGAGAATTCTTGAAGCAGCTTGGTTCTTACTTGCAGATTTAAAAGTAAGTCCACTTGAGCATCTTCCACTGGCACCGTTTTGTGCTCTGTTTGGTATGCACGCTTGTAGTTGTCCCACAGTAAGAGCACCTGTCTGGCCATCTTGAAAGAGATCTCAAGTATAAAAGGAAAAAAAAACTTTTAAGGGAGCAAACAGTATCAACTCGGTTTCTGACATGTAAGATGAGCTGATTATTGAAAATGTCAGGAGTGGCCAAGGAGATTCTGGTTTGTCCCTTCCCAAAGATCAGTAAGACCAATTTGCGATCAGAGGAAATCTCTGGGATTAAATCTTTGAATCACTGTGACACTGGACCCCCTTTATAGCTTCAGCTGGAAAAGCAGCACGTAAGTGTTCACCTAGGATATGTGAGCAGCTTTGAAGCATTCTGCTGTGTTGGACTGGTAGGGATGTGTTGAGGAACCAATACAAGGTTTGAGCGTATGTGTTCTCGAAGGGCAATTCCATTAGACACGTGGCTGTAGAATCTCCTCCTCTGAGCAGATCTCTCTAGTGCCTTGAATACCGTGTGGAACAGTGCATGTGTGTTAGTGCCTGTAGCATTTCCAGAGCAGCAGCGGAATGACAGGGGTGTCGGCACTTAATGTGCTTCAAGATGGGCTGTAGTCTCCTTGACCTAAGTCCAGTAGTATTTCTTCTTTCACGTTATAATGTTGTTTCTGTTGAGTGAATACTTACCTCCTCCTTCCTGAACAGCGTTTTCTAGAATCATAGACATTTTCGGGTTGGTGGGTTTGGGGTTTTTTTTTGTTTTAGGGGGAGGTGGGGGAGTAGTGTGTGTTTGTTTGGTTTGGGCTTTTTGTCGTTTTGGGTTTGTTCTGGTTTTTTAACCTGGGATAACTTCCCAGATCTCAAATACTTCATTACATTTTCAGCTTAATTCTTTTTCACACTTGGTGTTGTCTTCTAATCGTTTGTCTATATGGTGTGTGCTTGGGACATGTTAACCAGAAGCATAGCATTCAGTATTAAAACGTGCTATCCTTAAAAGCCAATCTTCAAGTAAAGCGGTTACTCACCCGAAGGATTTATGTTGGAGGCAGAGCCTGATATGCAATCTTTGATGAAGTTTTCTTACTAAGTTTTTTTTTGTCTGTCTTTGTTCAGAGATCATCTGCAGGATCTACACAAATAAACTGCCTCGATCTTAGCAAGCGTAGAAAATAAATGCGCTTGTAGCAAACATTGTGACTGGTTTTGTATCAACTTATTAAACCAGTCACTCTACATACTTTAAATTACTTTTACATATACTTTTGTATATATTCTGTCACTTTCATCAGTGATAGTGTCTCAAGTTATCTTGAATCAGCTGTGGGGGAGGGGGAGATTAAGGATATCCACGCTTCACTTGATTATTATAGTTGTCCTGAAAGTCGGTGTTTAACAGTCTGGTTGGCTCATCTTTTCATTGAGTCAAGATACTGACAATGAAACTTTCTAGAAAGTTCTTACTGTAGTAATCCGTAAAATCAGCCTGTATTGTTGAGTTTTATTGTGGAGGGTTTACATTAGTCTGTATTTTGTATGCTGCAGCTTCAGTTTCTTGGGTAAGTCAGTTTTTGGGCTGCTGGATGCCCAGTGTTTTAACTGTTGAGATGTTCTTATCTTAAAGTTACGTGCCTAAGACAACTTCCCACCCACACAACCCCAAGTATTTGAAACACTTTAGAAGTGTTTGGGGTTTTTTATCCCCTATTTTACCTTTGTTTTTTTCTTAGGTGTTTATGTGTTTTTTAGCAACACTAGAAGGTTTATGCCAATATTTTGGGCTTTGTTATACCTGCAGATTTCATACCACTAGTAGTTCGCTATTAGGATGATGTTCTAGAGATGGTGAATTATTTGCATTACAAATGATCTGTTTCTTTTTGAAGCCAAGACTCTGTAGGGAATCGAAATAGTTGATTTCAGGCCACTCAAAAAGAGCTTTCAGAATGGTCAGCTGAGCACAGATACTTTCCATTTAATGCACTATTATTGAAGCACACTGCAGGGCCCAACAGCTGACACCAGCTTCTGAGGGTAAAGCAAATTAAAGAGAATTATTGATGCACTGCCAAGTGTTTGATGCTTAATGCCAGAAACATCATTCTGTCTGCTCTTATAGCCGATATAAAGATGTTTTTTCTGGAAAGTGATAGGTCCCAATGTGATTAAATAAAAAAATCTAAATAACAACACAATATTAAGCTTCTCTGTGTTATATTTTCTACCCATTTATAATATTGTGGAAGATGACTCGCACGTTTCAGTTGTTATGAAGTCATCAGGCTGTTTATAAGCTGGTGTGGAACATGTAGTAAATCTGTTGAAGCAGGTACAGCTTCCAAGACCTCATCCTATTGTAACTTAAGTTCTGCTACATTGTTTACTGTTAAAATCTTTGGTCGATTTGGTGTGTTCGGTTTAGTAATTCGCGTATGTTAAAAATCATGCACCTCTCTTCTAAGTGTAATACCTAGTGAAAAGTGGCCTTCCCTACAAAATCATAGATCTTTCTGCATATACATGATTACGAAGATGGGGGGGGAGTTGCTTGCTTGTAAGTGTTCTGTGGGTTTCTTTTTATCCTTTATGCTAAGTAGCAATGTTGGAAACTCACTTGGTACAATGGATTCCCTATGTTGCTGTTCTCTGTGAGTGAATACTGCAGTATAGAAGAACTCGTGTTTCTGGAGGAGAGTTTGTATTTTGTACAGTGTATGAATTCATTATTAGGAGTTGTGGTACAGAATTCTTATAAATTAAAGTATATATTGGGGTTTTAATTCTGCTGCACCATTATTTCCTTTGGTTTCTCAGTTTACATTAAAAAAAAAAAGGTATCTAGTTTGGGTAGGTCTTTGTGCTTCAGAACAGAAAATTACTCTCTGGTGGGGTGTTGAGAGGTGCTTGGCTAGGCAGTCAGTTTAGGGAACTCTTGTTCTTTCTCTCAAAATGTGCATGGGTGCTGCTGTCATTCAGTCCAGGGAGCTGCTAATCCCTGGGTCTGGCCATTTCTGCAGTGTGTGCTAGTGTTGGTCTTCGAAGTGTTACTGAGATTGTATTGCTACTGTGCCTTTGCTAAGCAAAATAACTCGTGTAACAGATTTGGAGGTGCACAAATGAGCTGGAAACTGTAAGCAAATAGGAGGCTTTCATTGCATTCACTTTGCCTGGAAAAAAAAAAATCGGTGTGTAAGAGTTATTTTTGGATGAAATAAAAAGTGGAAGTGATTCGGAGAGGTGGCTGATGGCGCTCCTCAGGAGAGCCATTTTGTTAGCCTGTCAGAAAAGGTTATGGGATGCCTACTGATGAGGCCCCACTAAGAGGAAGCATGGCTGTTTTGAATGCTCCTTTGCAGCAGAAGGTGGTCTGGATTTGCTGTTTCCCAGCTTCCTAGTAGCAGAGTTTGACGTAGAACATTGATTGCTTCTCTTGTACCTGTTTTAGTCCAACATACCGAGTCACCAGTGTCTCAGTCATCGGGGTAGGATGTCTAGTTTAGATGGTCTCTGAAGTTCCTTTCTAATTCTGCTTCCCATGAATACTCCCAGGTCTTAACGATTGTGTGCAAATGTCACAGGAGGAGCAGTTCAGCTGGCGAGAATTAATGCTGTATTAAGAAATACTTAATAATAAGGTGAATGTAGGGCTGTATGTAGAAAAGTAGGAGGCAAAAAGGCCTTTTTAAGTGAACTTGAGAGAGAAAAGCTTGAGCAACTATAAGTAAAAAGGTGTACTTGTCAATGATGGATTTCACGTCTCATCTGTGGTGTGCCTGGGCAGGTAGGTAGCCTGAGGGACTTCAAAAGACATGATTAATCTCAAGGCAG